AAAAAAAAAAGACATGAACATGAGATTGGTCACATAAGTGGGGCTCACATCATATATGAGCCAACAAAGCCTAAGTTCAAGGAATAGAGGTTATCACTTCTGGATTGGTAGAACATAAAAAGACAGAAGTAGAAGCTAATTGTGCACTTTTTCCTTTTTTTTGTCTTAGGATGTTCATGCACATCTAGACAAGAAGTTGGTGGCCAGTCATATCTTACGTCTGCTCCCCAATGCAATAAAATGCTCCATGTCAATGTAAACAAAAACGTTCCATGTGATGCAGCATGTTGTTTTGGACGAACGCACCTTGGCCAGGAAAAAAACACCACCACTGGTAACGAAACATGCTTCAGCAGGGTAAACATTCGCAGATAAGGGAATAGGTTTTGATTCCCCAAAGTGAGATTTTTCTGCTACAAATCTAAAATAAAGCTAATAATGTGTTCCTTAAAATATAGATTACTGAAAACAATGTACATTAGAATTATATAAAAGACTGGCATGCTTCCAATGAAGTATCACTAACTTTTAACTGTTAAGATCCAGTACACAAAACAAGAAGAGAGAGATTTTAGAAGGACATGTTACTACCTCAAGATAAAAAGACCGTAAGATGAACCAAACCGTGCAATCAAAGGTAATACTGTATCCATTAACTTATTTTCAAAGCTTGGCTTCTATGCCAATGAATTTTGTTTAGGAAAACAGGTAAGTATCCACTCAGATATCAGTTTAATTGGTGTAAGGCGCTTTTAAACAACTACTTTGACTTTAAAGAAATATGGAGAATTATTGGAAAATTTTCCACAAAACTGATGGAAAAAATTGTTTGCTGCACTACTCAATGTCATTTGTTCATTTATTGCAGTTGCTGTTTGTCGTTTTGGTTTGCCAACTTATCAGAACCAAAACCGGGGGGAAACCAGCTTACACCGCCCAAGCCCCGGATGAACAACTAGAGCCAAGCCAAGACTTGAATGAAACCGAGGCACTTAACCGAGGAAAAAGACAAGTGACATTTACCTTGGCCAGCGTCTCCCCTGCTATCACTTCGACTGGATCTTCAAATTCGCCATCAAATGGCCATTCATGTGTGAAAAGATGGTATTTTTGCCCAAAGTACAATCTGTATGAAGCTGAATGCCACTCAAGTACATATAATGGTTGTACTCCTAGGGATCAACAACTTCTGTCTTACTTTTAAGTGTAAATGTGGATTTTGTCGATGCCTGAATCGTGTTCAAGAGTTTAGAGTGTATCGTGTTCAAGAGTGCTGTTCGGAGATTGACTGTATGGTCGCTTACAACAACGAAGCAGGCAAGAAGGATTAGCTAAGACACCTGTTTGCATTACAAAACACCTGGGATTCCAAGCCATTTGCTTGAATCACTGGGTTCTTCAGACGACCTGGTATCAGTACAAACAGCGGTATCACAACTCCTACAAATGCCCAGCACAAAAGCAAGACAGTCAAATAGCTTTAAGACCCTAAAGTAGCCTATTATCGAATCCAGTAGATTAAATGAATAATTAGGCCATGCTAAGTTTGAGCTTACCCTTCTTTGGCGAGAAGAAATCTAGCCAAACCTTCACAAGGATTATGGCGACCTATGTTCTGCGAACATGTCTGTGACAGAGATCCTATTGGGCAGTAAGCTCCAAAAGTCAAAGAAGAGGTGTGGAGCAAGCTCCTAAGGCAAGCTGCTGTCACCTACACGTAATCGTTGTTTTCATACATGGCCTTTTTTTTTCTCAATTTCCAAATGAACAAAACCAGATTGCTGTCAATAGTATAACACACGATGATGAACGTTTGTTGATTAATTACAAGATATATTTTCTGTTTGACAAAATACCCTGTGGGAGAGCTTTTCAGAGCTTTTTTATCAAACCCTTGAAACATTATGCAGTTGATAAAGGTCAAAAAACATTAGACATAGACTGAATACGTTGAACAATTAGCTGCCTTCTTCCGATTTAAGAGACGCTTCTGCATGACTTAGTTATGGACAGTTTGCAATGTCAGATTTAGTACATGTTTAGTCACCTGAATGGTCTTAATATTCAGGGCCTTGACAATGTATGATTAAAACTTCCTTTAGATACAGAGCTTCAACAGCTCTCACTTCGATCACATACTTTATCTTTGTTTATCATGTCCTATCAATCTTTTTAAACCCATTTTCTGTATGCTAAAGTTCCTAAGATAGTTTTTGCAGTAAGGCATGTACAGTTCAGAGGTAGAAGGGTATTGTGGGCAATCCCAATACCATGTGCTTCAGTAGTACTTGACCTTTTTATCTGTTAGCCTGTTCAAAGTAATTTGGAGACTAAAAGAAGTAAAAAGTCTAGAGAAGGGTTAAAAAAAGACCCAGAAAAGTTAGAAGCTAACCGTAAAAAAGATAGGGAACGAAAGAAGAAGCAGTATCATGAAAGAATGGGCACCTGCACAATTGCAGCTGCTAAAGAAGACCTCATTAGCCAATTCAAACCTTTTGGAAGACATGTCTACAACATCCGGTGGAAGTTTAAAGAACTTAGGCACCTGAAAGATAGCCTAGAGCAAGGGAAGGTGATCGTCGATGAAGGGGTTTCCAAAAATTTCCAGGTTAAACATCAAAGAGTGGTAATGGCTGCCCATTGGTCAAATGAAATGGCTACAGCTGTGGTGTACTATGTTATATGCAGTTTTTTCTCATGAGCTATGCCAGGACAAGGTAAATGCTTATGTATTCAACGGTGCCATTCTGGAAAAACTGAAGGAGGTAACTTCAGTCAAGACTGTTCTTTACAGGAGTGATGGAGCAGGGTCACAGCTTAAGAATCGTTACAACCTGGCAAGCTTACTCTACCACGAGAAAGACTTCAACTGCAAGGCCACATGGAACTTCTTTGAAACTGTTCATGGCAAGGGTCCAGTAGATGGAGTGGGTGGAGAAGTAAAAAGATCAGTGTGGTGGGCAATCCTGCAAAGCAACACAGTAATCACAAATGCAGAAAACTTCTTTTAAGAAACCCAAACATTACGCTGAAAAATCAAAGTTTTATATCATCCCGAGACTGTGATCCAGAAAGAAAGAGATGGGACAGATAGGACAGTTTGCTGCAAGGGCCAGTGATTCCACTATACCTATTGCTAAGAACTCTCAGTTTTTTCATTAAGATGTCTGCCAAGAGCATCTTTTGACAAAAGATGTGAAATACACCACAAAACATCCTGCCTCAGCAAACCCACCAATGCCTAACCAGGCAGTGATATCAGGAGAGAAAGCCTTCATCAAGTTTCAGCTTTTGCAAGGTGTTGGTCCTAACAAACTTGATTGGCCAAGAAGAGATGAGATTGATGAAGTACACATTTCTTGTATTTAAAATGGCCCAGTTCATCTGGAGGGCAATAGGCCTTTTGTTAATACCGAGCACAAGAAAGTTGAAAGTCTTTCTTGCAGTAAAAAAGCAAATGCCTACAATATAATACAATACAAAGTTAGGCAAGACTCAAATAGCTGCAGCTGTCTCTTTTCAGTTGTTACGTTTCTACCTTTGAAATGTTCGTTTTCTTCTAGTCTGATATTTAGTGAAGCCCATGTTTCAAAAGGCAGTCTACATCTTAAGAGGCTGCAACAGCATTTCTGCTAAGGTTTGTTATGTAAGACCCAAGACATTGAAACTGGAATTTGATTGCTCATGTTGTTAATTGCATTAAAATTAATTGCGTCTTAATGTCTTAATTTTGAATTCAGTGAAGTAAATGCAACAAAAGACGAGTTTATTCTAGTTCTTGAACAGACATGGGAAGAAGCTGTTCAAGAGGTTACCCCAAATGAGGGGGAAACATTTATTACAAGGTGACATGATTTCAAGGAAAGTAGGCGAGGTGGTGGCTGTTAGGGCTGATGAACTTAACGCATACATCAGAATGTAAACGTCACCAACCTAAGGGAATGTGTGGAGAACGATGACATAAGTTTGTAACCCAAAAAACGTGTAATATCTAGTAGATTAATTTATGAAATACAACACACATTAACTACACAAATTAATAATTCAAAAATTATTTAAAAATTACAACTACAAAGAAATTGAATTAAACAGGCCAAAAATGTCTGAATCGTCAGCAACTGGGATTTACCTTTAGAGGTACGGATCTTCAACTTTTTTAGTCATGACTGCGATCTTTCATTACTTTTCATCTTCTGTGCTTATTAATTTGCAGTATCAAATCCCATGGGCTGCAAGTTGGACATTATTATGTCAGCAGTCTTTATACTCTGCCAGCATGTTCTGCTATTTTTCCTTTCGTCATTAATTTGTGCATTTCTGGTGTGCCAGGTTGCTAATAAATACTTGTTAAGGATATGTCATATTGGTGCTGTCTTTGTATTAGTAGGAGTAGATTATATTTTGTGCGGGAGTGTGTGTTATTTTGTGCACTATCTTTAAAACTTTTGATGCTAGCAATGTATGTAAATTCACTATTATTATTATTATTATTATTATTATTATTATTATTATTATTATTATTATTATTATTATTATCATTTTTAAACTGGGGGCGTGCGAAGCTAGAGAGAATAGTGATTTCTCTTACTATCAAGACAAAAGAATTCTAAAGAAACACCTCAACAAAATCTTCAAGACAAGATTCCCTTAACGCCAAGTAATAATTTGATAATTTTATTACTTATAATGCACAAATTTGCATTCACGCATCTCATCTAATGCACATAGAAACCACATGTAGAAACCACCACAGGCAACCCAACTGAAGAGGCAGCATTTGCCCTTTACACCAAATGAAACGGCTCACGCGAATTCATTATCTCAAGTTCCCTTAACCAAGCGCAGTCACACTAACAGCCTTACAGACAAATCTTTTCAGCTTCTGGTGAATAATCACAGACCCCAGAGTCAGGCTATCCACTACCACAACTGAGCCAGCAAGTGTTCAGCGGTGATCCAATCAATTATTGTGACTTTAAACATCTTGTGGAAAGAAAAACGCTCAGTTTTCAGCACTTGCATATACTATCTCATACAGTACACTTCCAGTCCTGTACAAAAATTAATGAAGACCTCCCTACTTATGTGCCCTGGTGAAGGATTGAGAGAAGCTGAGTGTGACGGCAAAAGCTTCAGATCGCCACGGCACATGTTAAAGGCTGGTAGAGGGTCCATCAATCAGAGCCGATAACGGAGAAGCATTGCACTAGTTTTAAATAAAGTTGACTAGCCATAGAAACACCATCAAGAACATTGGGTACATAAACAAGTTAGACAATCTCAATAATTTGAAGAAAGTCATACACAGACTTCCACCTTCACTGATTACCAGATCAAAGCACTGGCAAATATGTCTTACCCAAGGCCAAAGTAATTGATGGGGAACACGACAATGAAGTGCTATGTCACTACCATACCGACGTTTTGTGCTGGCACCGGGCTCACATCAGCATTGTGGGCTCTGCTGTCAAAAGGTTTTGAAACCTCATCCAGGTTTTAGGTAGTCCTCATTTTACCACATAGCAATGCTTGTGAGGAATGTTTATTAATGTAACTTGCAAGATTTTAAAGCACGCAGCGCCTCTCAATCCATCTTTAAATCGCTGTAATTTGTGCCTGTGGAAATATATTTAATCACTTGCAGATCTGACCTGGTGAGCTTGAACAAGCGAAATGAGCTTGTAACTTCCCGCAGGCACACATGCATACACATAAACTAGTAAGGATAATAGAAGGACTAGAGTGTTACAATCCAAGTGATCTGATATCATCTTATGATTATGAGAAATTTATTTTATTACAGAAATTTAATCCTACTGTGAAAATTCCAACCAATTACAAAGCACTCAGTTTGTTGCCCGACTCCATTTGCCCCTAGTTCTGCTCATAAAAACACCTACTCCCGACACAGAAGAGACGACATCAAGTTCCCGTTGTTCAACAGTTTTTACTGTAGAGAATACAAAGACCCCTATATCCTCCACTGGATCAAAGACGAAATGTTTGTTTGGTGGACAACTCCCAAAAGCATCAGCCGCGATGATTATGAGAAATCTCCAGGTTTTTTAGCTATCTCCTCCAAGTTGTCCATAAAAGAAAGAAAGAAAGGTCTATAAGAAGCTTGCTCTCTTCTGTGAAAAAAAGAGATTAGAAGGCTCAATTTCAATTAGTAGATGGAAACACCAATATGTCAAATCTGCAGACAGACTGGACACGTAGATTTTGTTTTAATCACGAATCAGAAATGTCCCTGAATCATCAGTGAAGGGGAATTACTGATATTCAGCTTGGAGGTAGTTATGCAGTCACCACTCCGATATATTAAATATGAATGTCCCTTTTTCTTCTTCCCCCTTTTAGTTTTTTTTTTTTTAATGGTACACCCGTGCACTATGACTACCAAACTAGGATAAATGTTCTTTTGAAGAGTACTGATTTAAGCTTAGTGAGATTTTCATATGAAATTTTGAGAAAACCACCAACTTTATGTAAGAGCAATATGGGCACTAGCAGAAAGTGCAGACCTGAAACCGATAGAGAACCTTTAGCACAAACTTCCTGTGTCAAACAAAGAATCCTCTTTGTGCAGGAGTAGACAGCATAACTCAACTTCTCAGCTGTGTTCCTCGCCTAAGGAAACTGCACCTTTAAATGTTATGGTGGTGCTCTGTTTGTGAGAGAACCCTCTCAGTGCAAGAGACAGCATCATTATTCAAGGAATATCCCAACATTGTATCTAACTATTGTGACCACGCCAAAATTATATTGAACTTCTACAAAAATATATGTAGCATTTTTGTCACCTTACCTAAGTCAGATCGTAGGAAGAAATGCACAATGTTGAATTATAAAGAATAAAGAACAAAGTCAAGTTTGAAAGAAAGTTCTTTTTATTCGACATATCAAATCATTTGCTCTGGTACTAAGTTGAAATCGTCAGTTTTAATTGGAGTCTTTTCATATTCCGGATTAACTGGTGTTTGTTGTCAGCTAATCTGTATTTGACCACACTGCACCAACTTTTTGTCGCAAGAAAATTTACAAGGGACCAAATCAAAAACCACTAATATTGAGAGGTCTACTGAGCAGCCACAATGACAAGATGGCTGAGAAAAAATGTGCTCTGCAAATTTGTAGCTTTTTAAGACTTTTTGTTGTCTTTTTATACATGGTTTTCTTCTCTAGTGTTCATTTTCAGAAGATGGAAAAAGATTAATTTATGAAATACAGCACACTTCCTGTGTCAAACAAACAATCCTCTTTATGCAGGAGTAGACAGCATAACTCAACTTCTCAGCTGTGTTCCTCGCCTAAAGAAACTGCACCTTAAAATGTTATGGTGGTGCTCTGTTTGTGAGAGAATCCCCTCAGTACAAGAGACAGCATCATTACTCAAGGAATATGCCAACATTGTATTTACCTATTGTGACCACAGCACAATTATTTTGGACCTCTCCACAAAATACATGTGGCATTTTTGTCACCTTTACTAAGTCAGATTGTAAAATGAAATGCGCAATGTTGAATTATAAAGAATAAAGAATAAAGTCAAATTTGAAAGGAAGTTGTTTTTATTTGACATATCAAATCATTTGGTCAAGTGCTAAGCTGAAATCGTAAGTTTTAATTAGAGACTTTCGTTATTCCGGATTAACTGGTGTTTGTTGTGAGCTAATCTCGATTCAACCACACTGCACCAACTTTCTGCCGCAAGAAAATTTATAAGGGCCAAATCCAAAACCACTAATTGAGAGGTCTATTAAGCGGCCAACCTGACAAGATGGCTGAGAAAAAATGTGCTATGCAAGTGTCTACCTTTTAAGACTTTTTGTTGTCTTTCTATACATGGTTCTTTTCTCTCATGTTCATTTTAAGAAGATGGAAAAAGATTATTTATGAAATACAGCACACTTCATGTGTCAAACAAAGAATCCTCTTTGTGAAGGAGTCGACAGCATAAACTCAACTTCTCAGCTGTGTTCCCTGCCTTAAGAAACTGTACATTAAAATG